GGATGAGGTTCACTGGCGCCGACAGGGGTGGGGGGGGGGGCGGGTCCATGGAGGTAGCATTAACGCCCCAATCGCCAATTCCCCGCCAATCGGCGCCTGGGTGCCCCACCCCTCCCGGAGACTTGCGCCTTCGCTGTCGGTGCTGTATCCCCGACTCCAGGTCAACACGTCCCCCCTCATCAGCCCCCCCCCCAGTCTTCGCCCCCCCTCAGAGGAGGAGGTGGAGGCGGAGGGGGGGGGGGCGGCGGCCGCACGAGGGGACGCAGGGCATTGTGAGCCGAGGGTTCCCCGATGATCCAGAGATGCTCGGCGCAGCCACCGCCGCTCTCTATGCGGCCGGCCACGGCCGAGCACGATCTCTGGCAGGGAGGTTGCAAGACCTGCGTGCGTGCCTGCATGCATGTGCTGCGCGATCCCTGTCCGCCGAGGCTTGATGCGACCGAGAGGGGTTGAGAAAACACGGGGACGAATCCTGACAGCAGTGCCTCTCCATTTTGAGCTGGATTCGCAGTCGCCTGCCCAGCATCGGCCCCTGCCAGTTCTGAACATCGGTGGTGCATGGGCATCATGCCATTGTTTTCGTACCCGTTTCGGGCGCGCCAGGAGCTGCAAAGCAGATGTGCGTGCATGCATGTATTTGCCGAAAGGTCTAGCTATAGGGAAACGTGCATGGGCCATTTGCATCTTTCAGGGCAGCTGGCAGAGTTTCGCCGCGCTGCTGTTTGTACTCTCAAGAGGCTTTGCCGCGTGTAGCTGCGACACGCTGCAGGTGGCATATTATCACCATTGTTTCCCTCTTCCTGGGGAGGTGGAGGTGGAGGTATACCGAGACTGATAATAAAAGAGCGATGGTCGCAACATGCGGCTTGTCCACGTGTAATGTGCCGTTTCTCGCCCGTCTCCTCTCTTTATCCCCGTCGATATCCAACGAGTATGCATATTCAGGTGCTTCCCACGCGAAATAAGGATATATGATTCTCTGTGCGAGTCCAAGTTTGAACGACTCGGCGGCGTCTGAAACTGGTCACACGGTAGTTTGTGCGCGGGAGCAGCTTCGCACATTTCGTGTTGTTTGACATTCCAGTGAGTTGGCCTGCGCCTGATTTACACCCCTGCGTCGTCTCTCATTCCCTAGCCGTCTCTATTGCATGGAAGTGCTCCACGCAGCGACGAGCACAGCAGTTGCGCGCTGTGCACCCGAATATGGAGCGACACAATGAAAGCAATGTTATGCCTACTATCTGGGGATCGCATGTTGGGACTAAGTCGATTTTGTAGAGTTCTTCGCAGTAGTTGTGCAGGGCGGGCATGGCGTCCCGCATGTGTGAACGGGCCCCAGTTTTGCGAGCGGTCTGCCTTTTCCAGCGCGAGTGCCTTCGCAATCAGCGTCCTGGAGCACTCTTGCCGACAGCATTGCCACGGAAAGGGACCGAAGGCCTGGCGCAAGGAACCGATTTTTCAGTTTCGATTTCCCCCCCCCCATGTTGGTACAAGTCTCTGGGCCTTTGGCAGGGAAGTGGTGGCTGAGGCCTGCTGCTGCTCAGCAGTGTTCTCATCGTGTCGGAGCTGTTCCTGGCCAAGCTACCACCCATGTTGCATTGTGGAAAAAGGGCGCCCCTGCTGCAATCAGCAAGTGGCTTGTTTTGGCAGCCGGTTCAGGAGGAACGGATCCAATCCTGCGGTTGCGCAGCGGTTGTCGCCAGCGTTGCGGCTTTCCAAGAGCATGGGGGTGCCCAGGCTCGGGGAGGAGGCAGAGTTGGCGCACGCGACTTTTTTTGGGGGGGGGGCAACAGCTCCCGACGGTCCCCCTTGCATACGCGTGGACCGAAATGGGTACCGCAACAATGGGTACGAAGTCCAGCAGCAGGTCTAGCTCGTTCTGACCAGGATGCGCTGTCGGCGTCGCCGCGGTCGTTGTCCATTCGGGACAAGCTCGCTTGCCCAACAGCGACCGCTGTCGATGTTGGGCAACATTGGTTGTTGGGCATTGTGCCCATGTTTCCCCACTTGCCGTCCGCAGTGAGCTTTCAGCCTTCTCGGCGTTGCGATGCCAGCTCTTGTCATCTTCGTCCTTCCACTCCTCCCCGTCGTCCTCCCTGTTCCTCCACATCGGCCCCTTCGTTTTAAGACACTTCATCTTCGGAGATGGTCTTCCTCCTCCAACTCCTCACCATGTTCTTCTCCGTCTTCACATCCTCCTTCTCCCGTAGGCTGACACAAGCAAGTGCAACCCTTGGCCGTGCTACCCCTGCACCCAACTTAGATTTAAAGTTGGCCCCGTGCACTGGGCAGCACTGGCGTAAGAGGATGAACAGAGGACCCTGGAGCCCGCGCGAGTCCAAAGCCAGCCTGGAATCTTAGGAAAAGGGAGGGCGCAGGGGTGATCGCGAAGGGGAACCGCTTTCCTTCTGTTGCACGTTCTCCCCATCTGGGTTTCCCGAACATAATTTGGAAATGTTGGTAGCCTCCAATTTCCGAAACAATGCTGACTATTGAAGGATGCTAGAATGCTACGTACTATGTATGCGTATGTGTATGTATGTGGGTACGTATGTTTATACATGCATATGTGTATATAGATGTCGATATGTATCCACATGTCGAAGACGCCTACGGCGAATCACCGCCGCCCTCTGCCCCTTTGGAAGCGCCTCTGTGGCCGACAGCTGGGCCAGAGCTTGGCCAAGCTATCGGGCCAGTTGTTCCCCGAGTCGGTTTAGAATGACTTCGGGGAACGCATGGGGGAGCCAGAAGTGGAGGAGGGGGAGGATGAGGAAACAAGAGGAGGAGGAGGAAGTAGAGGAGGAGGAGGAGGAGGAGGAGGAGGAGGAGGAGACCTCTTGGGCGCCTCGTGGGGCACTCTTGGGGCCTCCTGGGAGCTTCCTGGGGGCCTCTTGTAGGATTTTTGGGTGCCTTTAGGGGCTTCTTGGGGGCTTCTTTGGCCGTCTTAGGGCGTTCCTGGCTTGTCTGACGCCGTCGGAAGCCGTCTTGGGGGGCCAGTCTGGTCGTCTTGGGGCCCTTTTGGGGCATATCTGGGCGTCTTGGAGGCCTCTTGGGCTGGTTTGGGGCTCTCTTGGGGCCGTCGTGGGGGCCCTTGAGGCCGTCATGGGGCCATCTTGGATGCCTCTTGGGCGATCTTGGGGGCCTCGTGCGCCGTCTTGAGCCGTCGGAATGCTGAGAAGAAGCAATGCCACAATCCTTCAAACGCATAAGGGAAATCAATGATGCTGGCCTCTTCGGGCCCTCCTGGAGGAACTCTTGGAGGCCTCTTGGCCCATCTTGGAGGCCTCTTGGGGGCCTCTTGGGCGGTCTTGGGCCATCTTGAGGCCCTCTCAGGCTGTCTTGGGTGCATCTTGCGCCGTCTTGGAGGCATCTTGTGCCATCTTGGCCGTCGTGGAGGCAATGTTGGCCGTCTTGGAGGCCTCTTGGGCCCTCTTAGGGCCGTCTTGGGGGCCTCCCGGGCCATCATGGGACCATCTTGGAGGCCTCGTGGGCGATCTGGGGGGCCTTGGGCCGTCTTGATCCGTCGGAATGCCGGAACGAAACAAATGCCACAATCCTTCAAAAACCTAACGAGCATCAATGATGTTGACCTCTTCGGGCCCTCCTGGAGGACCTCTTGGAGGCCTCTTGGCCCGTCTTGGAGGCCTCTTGGGCGGTCTTGGGCCATCTGGAGGCCATCTCAGGCCGTCCTGGGTGCATCTTGGGCCATGCTGGATGCATCTTGGGGCCATCTTAGCAGTGATGGAGGCATCTTGGTCGTCTTGGGGCCCTCTTGGGGGTATTTTGTGGGCCTCTTGGGCCTTCATGGGGCCATCTTGGGGGGCCTCTTAGGCGATCTTGGGGCGATCTTGGGGGCCTCTTGGGCCGTTGGAAGGCCAAAAAGACGTCTTGGAGGCAATTTTGGCTGTCTTGGAGGCCTCTTGGGCCCTCTAAGGGCCTTCTTGGGGGCCCCCTGGGCCGTCTTGGGATCATCTTGGAGGCCTCGTGGGCGATCTGGGGGGCCTCTTGGGCCGTCTTCAGCCGTCGGAATGCCGGAAAGCAACAAATGCAAACATCTTTCAAAAACCTAACGAGCATCAATGATGTTGGCCTCTTCGGGCCTTCCTGGAGGACCTCTTGGAGGCCTCTTAGGGGGCTCTTGGGCCGTCTTGGGCCATCTTGAGGCTATCTTAGGCCGTCTTGGGTGCATCTTGGGCCGTCTTGGAGGCATTTTGGGGCCATCTTAGCCGTCTTGGAGGCCATCTTGGCCGTCTTGGAGGCATCTTGGAGGCCATCTTGGGCCATCTTGGAGCCGTCTGGGGCAGGAAAACCCTTTGCAACCGGCTCTGGAAGATCCTGGGCAATCCTTCCACGCGCCGGAGCCCCAGGGGGAGGTCTTTTGGAAAAAGAACCAAAACCAAAACCGAAACGGTTCAGCACGCAAGGCACCCTTGTGATACAGGGGGCGGCGGATCCAGCTGCATGTGGTGTGTCCCGCCACCGTGCCAGCCCAGCACGATGGGTGGCGACACATCGGGGGGCACAATACAGGCCTTAACATGTCAAACCTCATTTTCCGAGGCATCAGCGAATCGTAACATATGACATGCTGTTCCAAGTAGTGTCGGGTGTTCTCTTGTCGTCTGCGTCGTCTTCTTCCGCTTCTTCCGCCCTTTCTTTGGCTCCGCCGGTGGGAAGTCTAGGCGTGCCATTTTAGACCGTCCTTCGGGCTTCTTTTGGGCCGTCTTCGGGATCTCTCGGCCCACCGTCGGCCCATCTTGGCCGTCCGGGGGGTCCTTTGCGGCCGCGGGGCCGCCTGGGCCGAGGGGGGGCCCCTCTCCGTGGCCGTCGCCCGGGCCTCCGCAGAGACTGGAGGCCCTCCAGGGCCGGCTCGGGGCTTCCTTCGGGGGCCGTCCTGGGCCGTCCAGGGGCCCGGCCCCGGCGGCGGTCGCCAAGCGGCGCCAGGGGAACCGCCGAGCGAGCCTGCCGCCGGAGGGCCCGCGGCTGCCTCCCCCGCGATGTCCCTGGAGCAGGGAGACGCCGCGCTGGGGCAGGCTGGCAGGCGCCCCGCGGGGCGGCGCGCAGGGATCGGCTGAGGGCAGAAGGGGTGGCGCAGAGGGGGGGCAGGAGGAGGAAGAGGAGGAGGAGGAGAGGGAGGAGGAGGAGGAGGAACTTAGGAGAAGGAGGAGGAGGAGGAGGAGGAGGAGGAGGAGGAGGAGGAGGAGGGAGGAGGAGGAGAGGAGGAGAGGAGGAGGAGGAGGAGGGAGGAGGAGGAGGAGGAGGAGGAGGAGGAGGAGGAGGAGGAGGAGGAGGAGGAGGCTGGGGGGGGGCGAGTCGGGACCACGGTGGATGACCTCTGGGATGGAACTGACCGGCCGGGAGCTGAGGTAACCCAGCACCGGTTCTGGCCAGCAGAAGGGGCTCGCTGGCACGGCTGGGCGCGTCCCTAACCGAGCGCGTTCCACTACTCGCAAAGTGCCTACTCGCAAAATGTCCTGAAACAAACGCCTGCCTCGACGTAATGTTTCGCAAATCCTCCTCGGCGGATCCGAACTATTTGCGAGTAGTTACTTTGCGTGTAGTGGAACGTGGAACGCGCTTGTCTAGTCTAGAAAACTTGCCAGGTTCGACCCCCGGAGGGGTCGAGACATCGATTCGGAGCAGACAGATTTGCCCTCGCCCCCCGCTCTTGACAGTTTGCTCCATTTGCCCATCCAGCGCAGACCCCGCGGCTGCTTCCAAGTGGAAAGGTGGAAAGGGGTGAGCGAGACCGACTCGGAATCGGCGATATGCATCGCTGATAGACCAGCGACAGGCCACAGATCTTTAGTGCAGCCGCACGTTCTCCTGGGAGTGGTGGGGGGCTCGGGCCCCGGTTGACGAGGAGTGGCCGATAGGGGATCGATCCGGATCGGAGCGCTCTCGGTACGTTCGAAGTACTTGGCGTCGCTCGGACGTGTGCAGTTTTTCTCTCGGCGAGGACCCTCGAGGAGCATCCTGGATCCTCGAGCGGAACAAAAACACACGATGCCGAAAAAACATGCCCGGGGAAGGGACGCCCGAGCGATGGCAAGAGTAGGTTCTCACGCCAGGACGGGGGAGGCAGATCGGCAGCAGCTCCTGTCCATGCTGCGCAGGGCTCGCTGTCGATGGTCATCGCGGACGCTGCCCGTGTTCGACAGACTGTCGCCTGCCGCCCCTGCCCGGCACGATTCGCGCCAGCGCCGTCTGGGAGTCGACTATACGTAAGAGTGACCCTTCGATGTTCGCCTTCGGCCTGCCCTTAGTCTCCTCGTGCTCGGCTGGGGGTGGGGCGGCGCCCCCATTGTATATAGCCGCTAGACTGTGCCGTGTCGTGATGTTCGTCATGGAGCACTGTAGCAGTCTTCTCCCTTGCTCCTCATCCTAGCAGGCGGGCGTCTGATCCTCGCTTTGAGGCCTTCGATGGCGCGGTGAGGTCACAAAAAATGTGACCTTTGTTGCGGGCCCATCGGGGTTCCCCCGGTTGCCGAACGCGATGCGATCGTAGCGTCTTGCGCGCGTGTGTTCGGTTCCGCCAGATGGCCCCCCCGCGGCCCCAAGCAGCCGCGCACCAGAGATCGCGCTTGCCCAGGTTCACTCCTGCGTGTAGCCGAGGAGGGAAAGCTTAGGAATGGCTGATTCCCTCAATGGCGCGTGCGCGAATCGTGACTTCGCCAATATGTTAACTAAGGGAGGCTGGGCTGGTGAGGGGCGCTGTCGAGAATCTAATCAAAAAGGTCTCAGCGGCCGTTGCGCATCGTGCGCATTTTTCTCATGCCCGTGTCGGGCGTGCCTATGGGGCTACGAAGCGTGTCATGGGGGCCCCTTTGCAAAACCTCCCCCCCAAAGAGGGGGGCAGGGGGGCGGGAGCGCGCGGGAGAGTGGGGGGTGGGCGAGCGGCAGCGGGGGGCAGGGGAGAGCGGAGACGGACGTGGCGGGGGGGCGGGTGGGCATTGCTGGACAGGTCGGGAAGAGAGATAGAGAGGGAGGGGGAGGAAGGAATGGGGGATGCAAGGGTGCCCGCAAGGGCGCGAAGCTATTCGCGCATCGCGCTCCGCTGATCGCGGTTCGGCTCCACCTCTTTCCCCATCCTCTTTTTCTCCCTTGGGGGGGGCGGCGCGGGGTCGCATGGTTATTCGCGCGGCGCGAAGCGCGAAGGTACACGCCCTTGGGGATGGGGGAGGAAGGGGTGGGGGAGGGGGGAGGGGATGGGAGGGGAAGGGAGGCGAGAGGCAGGGACTGAGAGGAGAGGGGCCTAGGGCGGAGGGGGGACGGGGAAGGAGGAAACGGGGGGCACGGAGTGCAGGGCAGGGGAGGGCCAGAGGAGGGGTGGCGATGGCTTGCTGGGAGCGTCGGATGTTTTCGCTGCCCCCGAGCGCGAAGGGGCCCCGTGGAGCCGTCGGGTGGCGCCTCTGCCGAGTGTCGACGCTGCCGGTGTTGAGACCGGGGTGGGCCCAAACGTGGCGTTGTTGGACTTCGGCTGTGCTCTGTTGTTCGTTTTGGCAGGGAGGTATAAAAAAACCGGCAGAGCCACACGAGCAACACAACAGGGCCACAGCCACAACGAAGAACCAGTTCGAGTCCAGCCCTGTTTCGAAGCCGTACCGTCCCTGCGTGTGCGTTGAAACCCGTGCGCCCCGCACGAGTCTTCTTCTCCACCGCTGCCCTCGCTCGGTTTGGCAACGCCTCCGCGCTCCCTCGTCCTTGGAGGCCCAGCCGCTCCTTTGCCGATATCTTTTGTTGTTCCTCGTTTCGCTGGGTGCTTTCGTTGCGGGCCCAAGTCGGATGAACATGCGCATCCCTTCGACCCAATGTGGAAAATCGCGTGGCGGGGTCGGTGGCTACATGCATGCTGGTGTCTGGCGTCGGTGCCGATTTAGGTGTGGGGTTGGTAGAGTTAGTATTGGCGTTCATGATTTGCCCAACCAAGACGTTCATAATTCTGCCACAAAGTGCGGGGGGAGGGTGGCGCGCACGCGCGCGTGAGCGTGTGTGTGTGTGTGTGTGTGTGTGTGTGTGTGTGTGTGTGTGTGTGTGTGTGTGTGTGTGTGTGTGTGTGTGTGTGTGTGTGTGTGTGTGTGTGTGTGTGTGCGTGTGCGTGTGCGTGTGCGTGTGCGTGTGCGTGTGCGTGTGCGTGTGCGTGTGCGTGTGCGTGTGTGTGTGTGTGTTTGTGTGTTGTGTGCGTGCGTGTGTGTGTGTGTGTGTCTGCCGGCGGGCGTGCATGTTCGCTTGTTGCATGTTCGTAAACCACAGCGCCAGAGGATGAACAGGACTGCGCGCGCGTGTAGCAGGGGGCACGATTCAACCACAGACCTACGTTGGCACTTTCGGCCGAGAGCCCGTTCGAAACAGTCCACGTCGTCGAGCTCATCCTTAAGTACTTCCGCTACCACATCATCATATCCTTATGATCCATTATCCCTCCTTGTCCTCTGCCTCTCCTTCTCCCCTCTTTTGTCACAGCCTTTGTTGCTCCTCCTTATGTTTCCCCTTTTCTTTTCCTTCCTCGTCCCCTTCTATAGGACGAGAAGGAGGGAACGAGCAATGGAGATTCCAACAGGGCCTCGATCGAAGCCTTGATGCTGGAGAATGGCCGCGTCTTCAAGACGCACAGCGGGTGCGCCTCTGAGCGCCCCGCAGCGAGGGGAGACCGTTCGGTCCACTGCCCCCCCCGACTCCTTCTCAACATTTAACGGGTGAAGAACGGTATAACATACACTTTTTTGTTGTCGGGGGCGCCTGTCCCAGAGCGGTTGGAAAGTTTCTACCCCTACGTTGCCACCGTAAGGGTATAAACTTTCCAGCCGCCCTGGGACAGGCGCCCCCGACAGCGAAACAGTGTATTTGATACTGTTCTTCGCCCGTTAAAACATATGAAGTCTGCTTACCAGACTCCCCCCCTCCATCCCCTCCCCTCCTTTTCCGCTCTGGGCGCCACCACAAGCTGGTCGATGTTCCACACGACGTTGGGCCCTGAGCCGAGGCTGCTCCCGAAGCATAACCGGAGGCGTCACGGCAGCCTGTTTGGAAGGGGGAGGGGCGTTGGCGGGTTGGAATGGTCTGGTTCGCAGGGCTTTGATTCAGGAGGGGAAAAAGCACACAGACACAAGTAATCGTCGATCCCCAGGAACATATAGGAAAATATGGGAAGTGGGGGGGAAGACGAAAATCCTGGAAATATGAAAAAAATGAATATTGGTATTTGTATGTATTTCTTTGTGTGTCCTTGGGCCCCTTCAGTGATTGCACTCGGATCGCTGAAAACAGAATTCTCGCGAGCCTGCCTTTTCCGCGGGTTCCTGAGCGGGTAGTCGACCCCCCATCGACCCCTCGTCGTCGGGCACCTTCCATTTACCTCGGCCTCCCCGCAAAAGTCTGTCCGCAGCTCTCCTTTTTACCCAGAGGGGGCGAAGAAGTACGTATGGGGTGCGGAGGAAGAGGTATGTGGCTTGAGGGCATGAAAGACACATGGGCGGGGCGGGGCGCGAGGAGGTGGAGAAGTACGGGCAGGTAGGAGGAGGCAGGGGGTACATGTAGTTCGGACGGGGGGAGAAACTTGAGGATCAAACTGAACTCAGCTGCATCAATGATTCTGCAATGCGCCCTCCCTTCGCATCCCCCGTATGAAATGTCCCTGCCCTCATCCCATTTCCCTGCTAAGAGAACCTTCCCCCTGACAAGGCGAGCGCCACATGGGATGGGCTTGCCCTTCAAGTTGAAGCCTTTGTGTGGCGTGTTCCTGAATCTCCTGGCCATACGCAATGCGGAGAGGTGGAATCACAAAGTCAAAGCTCTGTTCAGCGATATGTCCCGTTTTGACGAGACGCGCCCTTCTCACGTGCAGTTGCTACGCAACATTAGCATTCGGATCACGAGGGTCACGGAAGTCTCAGGGAACAGTCTTTTCATCTTTGAACAGGAGCCGTCCTCCATCTTTGTAGCCTTAGATGGTGCCAACTTTGGGTTCGCCAAAATTAAGAGTACATGTTTGACGGGAGCACGATCTGGAACAGAACAGTCCCCCTTTTCCTGAAGTTGATT